AAGCTCTCCTTCCACCCGAATCAGCCCGATCACTGCCGACTCGAGTAGGTATGGTCGTAACTTGCTAGCTGCTTCTGGGTCCCTGACTAAACATTGATGATACTGTGCCAGTACACAAGATGGCAAGGCGTATGGACCTTTCCCTTCGGCTACAATTCCGCCAATTTCGGTGTACCTCGGGTGGATCCCGACAGGTTCCCCTTGGTCCCTCTTTTTGCCTCTTCCTCTCCTGGTCTGCTCGAGTAGGTATGCGCATGCATCATTCCTACCCTTGTCATGGATGGGCGCCGGCCAACCCCTCGCTCGACTCGTCTGTGCCGAGCTTGCGACGGCACTCGCCCATGTCCAACGCGCCGTCGGGAGCTGTATTCTTTAACAATTCCATGGTGCCTTGCATTCTTCGTCCTTTTACCAGCAAGCCTACTTCTTCCGTCTATTTCTTCCAGAACATCCAATCTCATACTTCCTCTACATCTTTCCCATCCCAATCCAATTGCTCTTGTTCTCCTTGAAAACTAAAGATACCCCGCGTGCTACGCTTACCATCACCGTCATCCTGTCTCAAGACGAAGCTTGTGCGCATTCCTCTAACACGTGAAAACCTTCCTGCGACAACCAACCTGCGTAGTCGCCGACCGGAAGATCCTACTATCAGTTGCGTACTACCGAACAGCAAACACCATCACCAAGTGTAGACATACACACATTTACACATACACAATGGCTACCACCGAAGCAATCCTTCAAGGCGTCAACGTCCTGGGCAATGTCACGGATGCCCAGCGCAAGATCCTCACCCCCGACGCCCTCGCCTTCCTCGCCCTGCTGCATCGCTCTTTCAATGCTACTCGCAAGTCACTGCTCGAGCGCCGCAAGCTCCGCCAGACCGAGCTTGACCGCGGCGTCTTGCCCGACTTCCTCCCCGAGACAAAGCACATCAGAGAGAACTCCACATGGAAAGGTGCCCCGCCGGCCCCTGGCCTGGTCGACCGTAGAGTAGAGATCACCGGCCCGACTGATCGCAAGATGGTCGTAAATGCTCTGAACTCAAATGTCTGGACTTACATGGCTGATTTCGAGGGTGAGTCTGAGCCACATCGGAAACATACCCAACCGTAATGGAACACTGTACTGACAATCCTATATTACAGACTCGAGCGCGCCAACATGGGAGAACATGGTCAACGGCCAAGTGAACCTGTACGACGCCAACCGCCGCAAGGTCGACTTCAAGCAGGGTTCCAAGGAATACAAGCTCCGCACCGACCGTACTCTACCCACTCTGATTGTCCGACCTCGCGGCTGGCACTTGGAGGAGAAGCATGTTACCGTTGACGGCGAGCCCATCTCTGGTTCCCTCTTCGATTTCGGCCTCTACTTCTACCATAATGCCCGCCAGACTATCGATATCGGCATTGGCCCGTACTTCTACCTCCCCAAGATGGAGTCTCACCTCGAGGCCCGCCTGTGGAACGACGCCTTCAACCTGGCTCAGGACTACGTCGGTGTCCCCCGCGGCACCATTCGCGGAACCGTCCTGATCGAGACTATTCTGGCTGCGTTTGAGATGGACGAGATCATTTACGAGCTGAGAGACCACAGCTCTGGCCTCAACTGCGGTCGCTGGGACTACATCTTCAGCACCATCAAGAAGTTCAGGAACAACTCCAACTTCGTCCTGCCCGACCGTAGCGCCGTCACCATGACGAGCCCCTTCATGGACGCCTACGTGAGTAACCCCGCGCCCTCCCGCGTGCTTGTATCGAGGAGAGACTAACCCTTGCCGCCAGGTCAAACTCCTCATCCAGACGTGCCACAAGAGAGGCGTTCACGCCATGGGCGGCATGGCTGCCCAGATCCCCATCAAGGACGACAAGGCCGCCAACGACAAGGCGATGGAAGGCGTCCGCGCCGACAAGCTGCGTGAAGTCCGCGCTGGTCACGACGGGTGAGTCTGCTGCCGTTCTGTTCTGTGCCATTGAATTAGCCACTAACACAATTTCAAAGCACCTGGGTCGCTCACCCTGCTCTGGCGGCCATTGCCTCTGAAATCTTCAACAAGAACATGCCCACGCCCAACCAGCTCTTTGTCCGTCGTGAGGATGTCAAGATTGGCCAGAACGACCTGTTGAACATGAACGTGCCGGGCAAGATTACCGAGGAGGGTATCAAGAAGAACCTCAACATTGGCCTCGGCTACATGGAGGCCTGGATCCGTGGCGTTGGCTGCGTTCCCATCAACTTCCTCATGTAAGTTCGCGTGCTACTAATCCCCCTCCCCATTCAAAAAAATCAGAGAAAACTCACACGTCGCGTGTAGGGAGGATGCCGCCACCGCCGAGGTCTCTCGCTCTCAGCTCTGGCAATGGGTGAAGCACGGCGTGTCCACTGCCGAGGGCAAGAAGGTCGACAAGGCCTACGCCCTCAAGCTCCTCAAGGAGTCCGCCGATGAGCTCGCCAGCAAGGCGCCCAAGGGTAACAAGTACCACCTCGCCGCGCAGTACTTTGCCGGCCAGGTTACTGGTGAAGATTATGCTGATTTCCTGACCACGTAAGTCTACCACCATTGCCACCACCACCACATCTCGCTCCTCGTCGGGGCTTTTCCTTTGCGCCCCGCGGCTTTTACCACTCGGTGATTGTTATCAAAGACTAAAGGTACTAACTTGACCAATAGTCTGCTGTACGATGAGATTACCGCCGTCGGCAGCGCACGCCCCGCTTCCAAGTTGTAGGTCAGGGAAGCTAGTCGATAGCTCGCTTCCGAAGCGAAGGAGGTCAGCGCAATGTCACGCGTAATGGATCTTGTGTCTGATGCCTCTGGCGGGATGAATATCAGGGACGTTTGAAGTGCTGTTTCACCGAACGGGTTGGGTCTCGGGGCAAAGGCATGATTTGGGTTGAAAATTTTGCCGGTTGAGATTTGGAAACTTGCCTTCATGTATTGAGGCTATGAATGTAAGAATGAATGAGATTGAAAATCGATTCTTATTTGATGAGTCACACACCCCCTCCATGCCACCATTACTTACGCCGTATCGTGACTTTCGGTTGATTTCGCACAGAAGGTCTCGGAGTTCTCCAGAGTCTACACGTCAACGATGGCGATAATGCGAGATGGTGGGCTTGGATAACGGATAAGAAGCACTGTTCGGTGTGCCTGAACCTGGACCTAGATCCGTGGCTTGACATACTCGCAATGAGTCAGGTTCGAGGCAAGGAAAGGCCGCAACCGAGATGTTGATGTCCGAAATATCATTGGTCCCAAGATTGTGCTCGTGAATCACCTGGCTCACAGCCACTTTCTTCCATTTTTGAACGCAGTCCCCGATTCGGCGAGACACGACTTCGAATATGGAATCTCGTCGTAGGATACAGTCGACTTTACGGAGAATGCTACCCGCATCAAGGGCCTCCGTCGTTGTTCTTCTCGACAGGGGTCTGTCCACGAAACCCACAGTTTGATCTTTTCTTCTTTTGCCTTACCCCTCCCAGGCCGTTGCTCATCGTATATGAAAACATGTACTTGCCGATGTATCGATAAATCCGGAGAACTGCTGGGCTGTGCGTTGTAAGGGGCGTGGGAGGTCTAAGCTGTGTCTAGATGGTCCACTTGCCGAGGGTTAGGGAAAAGAAGAAACGTGGGAGGCTTTTGATCTTGATGGTCGGGGCGGGGGCGGACCCTTCATGCAGGTTCATTGGAGATTCCAGCTCGCTTCGTGGGTCGAGGGGTGAGGGAAAGCCATCTCTTCGACGTCAATGACGTCTTACACATTGCAGTTGTTGTACTTGTGGTTGAAGTGGGTGCGCTGGGAAGTTTTGGAACCCCCACCTAGGGCAGATGTGGGATGTTTGACACTTCAACGGAGACGGAGGAAATGTGATGGAATAAAGAAACGTGTGAAGCAGCGCGGCTGGCTGTCGATGTTTGACATCTCTTATGGAGTCCTCTAGGGGCGGGCCGCGATGGTGCGGCGCGGTAAAGGGTGAAGGGATGGGAGTGGGAGAGGGGGGTATGGCCTTCTTGCTGGTTGGCTTGATCGCGAGCATGGCATAGTACGCACCTCTGAAGCCCCTCTGAAGCATAAGATGAATAATTCGCTTCCCTCCGGAGTCCGGTGTTGTCTATCATATCGACATGTCATAACTGGGTGTTTCAGCGGCATCTAGATAGTCGGGCAGATGTGCTGCTCAAATGTGGATACCGCGATGTTGTTGGGGCGGAGCGGGCCGTCGATGATGAGTGCATAAACTCAAAGACAACCTCGCCCTATCGCATCGTAGTTCAGGAAAGAAAGAGGGAGATGAAGGTCGACCACAGTCGGAAGGGTTCGTCTTTGCCGCCACTAACAGAGGGTATCAGTATCAGGTTCCGGAGGGACGGTTTGGCCGGTAGGGCAGATTCCTTTTCCCAGCTCCCGATTTGAGTCGGCTGACCCGTCGCCGCCATCAGAAATGGGAAACAAAGTCTGGATCTCGGGATGGAGGGAGTCTGGGCCACGTCGGACTGGAAAAGGCGCGCGATATCGGATCGCCGGCGTGAAGGATGGCGGTGATGCGCTTATTGGTTGGAAGTCGGCTTTCGCATCATGTACCCGGATTTGGGAATATGTTGAGTTGTTCCTTTGGCTGAGCAGTTTCTTATGCTTTGATCGGCCACCGAGATTCGGTGTGACTAGGATCGTCACGAAGAATTGTGATCAGTCGTTTTCTTCGTTTGTAAGATGACGAACGAGTAGGCTTACAAAAGTGATGATTCAATGATGGTTGGTCTCCCCTCTGAAACCCGCACCGGACGCTACTTGACGCCTATGTGGGATCTTCTGCTGGTTCCAAGGAAGGAGAGTGTGTCTTGGAACCTGGTCATTTAGGTGTTGGTAAAGTGTAAAGGTTTCTTTTACCTCGGCAACGCCCCTTCTCCTTCCAACTTTCATCATATATGATGGATTAGGGAAGTCACGAGATGGTATGGCGGGCCGGGAAAGGACGCCGGCGTCGGGCGATATGATGATTGGAAAAGAGTCTCATGTTGACCGACGAAATCCTACTTCCCGGAAAGAAAGTGGAAGGTGTCTCGAGCGTACCTTAATCTCACTTTCTGTCTCTGATCTGAACGCCACGATGTTCGCTAAGCAAGAAGACGACAGAGGGACGTTGGCTGGGGCCCCCACTGAGGTCGACCAATACATACCCACAAGGCAGAGTACGTTCATGAAAAGAAACCCTGCAATTGCTGTCTTGATTTGTTTGCCGCTCGTATGGGACTTGAGAAGATGTCCACCCCCGCCACGTTGATTAGATTAATGAGAACAGACATCAGGCGAACGGACAAGAGATCCTTGTCGAGCCTCTACCCTGGCCTGTCAGGGCAATTGTCCGACGGGAAGGCCTTGTCTTTCTTACCGACGGACGTGTTTTGAGCCGCAGGTATCATCAGAGGCGTACTTATCCTCAACGTACAAAATAGGTGACGTCTAGAGTATCACATCGGGAGTAATCGCCGAGACATCATGTATGAATTATCCGTAAATCAGATTGCACTCCCAAAAAGGATGTCCATCTTCGTATAAGTCGACTGTCTTACAGATGAGTTAGTAAGCGGCGTACGTGCAGCAAGGAGAGGCACTGCTGCCGACCTTCTCCGTGATCGCTCGTCGCAAGTGATACTTTGACTTGACGAGTACGAATAAGTCATTAAGTGTCCTTCATTGGCGGTGGCCAATCCCCTGTCCCCCCTAGCCGGCTAGCTAATCAGATCGTTGGGAACCCTGTAGCCGGTGAGCGAAAGAAGAAATATGGGCTTTCCGACGAGGGCTCAGTCGGTATCCATTCAACTGAATCGAATATGCCTTGCTTTTCGACGGGAGGCGAAGAATCCGCGAAGCTGGGTATGCAAGGAACAGTGCTTAAAGTTGAGAATGAGACTGAAAAGATTGCGCCTCGGAAATCTGTAGTTTTGACCACTGATTGAAGTATCGTGATTTCTTCTTGCGAGGGGGAAAAAGACCTGGTTGATGTTTATCCATTAACTTGACCAACACCTCCCTCACCCTTAACCCTTTGTGTGTTACTCACCGCTTCTGGTAAGGCCCCATCACCTGAGATGTCGAAAAATGATAGATTGAGTGGATTTGAGACTGGCGGCGGATCTCTTGCAGTTGATAATGCCGTGTAAAGTTGTCTTTGAGTCTTCACAAAAGCAATTCTGCGTCTCAGGCACTATCTTGGCCGATGACAATATCAAAAGGCGGCGTCATTATACGAACATCGATTTAGGTACCAACCGACGAAGCAACATCGTAGAACAATGGCTTCAGATATTTGACGGTGTTGGTTCGATGGATGTGGTATCTGAAACAACGGAGGTTGCCATCGACCTTTACACCTCAATGGACTATTGTCGGTTGGCCTCGTGAGGTTACCCTATTGATGCTCTAGTATGGCAGCAGCAGCAGCAGCAGCAGCAGCAGCGACATACCCAGGGAAAAGTCTTGGAAGACTGCGCCATTGAGGCGCCTGTGACAAGTTGGTATCAATTTGTATTCTGTCGTGTGCAGACTTATCCAGCTACGGAGGTCACTTGATCTCAAGATAACTGGATGTACTTTACTGAACCTAAGTCATACAAGAGCTGAATCTGGAACCTGAGGCTAATGGAAGAGGCCATCTCTGCACTTGATGTGTAGCCTCTTGCCTTGGTATGTGTTCCCTCGGGAGTGATCTTGCAAGACATGTGTTCGCGAGTTGACGACCATCGTGGACTAGATGCACGTATTCTTGACGAGGCAAAATTATCTTCCCTGCGTGAAAGATTTTGAGCAATAGCGCCAAAGGGCAGGCCAAAAGACCAAAATATGGATGTTCAAGAAGGTCAAGCATCTTGTCTGGAAGGGGCCGGACCAGAGGCTCGAGATCACGAGGCGCATATTATGACAGTAGAATCAAAACCCATCTCGGGTAGCAAAGGGGTCAGAACGCCTAGCAAATAGAATTACCGTAAACGGTATGCTTATCCGCTAGGTACTTTTGTTTCAAGAGGTTGAGCTTTCTTGAGTCTGTGTGGTTATCGAGAAGCCCCGAGGGCGCAAGGCGCAGTGGGACTTACGAGAGCTGCGTCTAGCTTCCTCGGATAGTGATAATAGGCTTAGATGAGCATATTTCACAGAGTTTCAGGCATATGCTGTTATTTCATTCGAAAGGTGGGCTGTTGTGTCATGCAAGGCCAACAGTCACATGACTTCGTTAGAAAGATGGAATGGGAGAGATACCTCACCGACTTGTTAGACAATCATGCATACAGGGCGAAGCCTTTCGAAGTAGACTCTGAAGGTGAAGCATAGCATGTCGGGTAACGTGAGGTCTCAAGACGAAAGAACGGGCTGGTGAGTGGAAGCCTCCATTGATCCGTGTCTATGACAATATGGTCCGACGAACGTTTGAAGGTGAAGGTATCAACAGATATGGATAGCCATTTAGCTAAACAGAAATTCGGGGCTTGTAACAAGGACGAGATTTGAGTCAAAAGAATCACGCAAAAGGTAGTAATCTGTTCGATCCTTCAGTTACTTGCAAGCTCATTAATTTGGTAAATCATGCTGGGTGGAGTTAAGGTAACTATAGCAGTGTTGGATCCCTAGACAAGCAAATAATATCCATCTATTTTCTATCTTTTGACTGGATCATCACAAGCTAGGGGACCATTCTGATAATTGGGTGATGAGACCACCTTGTAGAGTCCATGTGAGAGGCTGCTATGCCAGAGACACATTGCTCCAAGTCCAACATTGCTCGTTCGTGACGAGCCTGATACCTGCAAAGACTGACCGTGGTAGAGAATAGTTGAGAAAAGCTCTGAGTGTTCAAATCTCTCTAATTCTATGCTGAAATTGAGGCAACTTTATGAGTGGAAAAGTCGCATAGAGCATATTCGCCAAACTGGTTCGCACGGGAAAGCCGTGGCTAAGGTCCTTGGCAATAAACTTCGACAGGACAGATTGGAGGTAGATAGGGCTGAAGGGTAGTAATGCCATCTTAGCTGCATCAAAGTTTTCGGGCGCATTTCATAGGGAATCGCCAGATTTGCGGCGCAACAAAGTAGGTTTGAGGTCTGACGGCTGCCACGATTGCGGCGGCAGCGCCGTTGGGTTGGTGGCGTTCGTGCGAAGCTTGCGTCTAATTTGTCTCTCATTTTCTCTGTGTATCATGGTGCAGACCACTTGAGATATGACGAGGGCCTCTCGCTTGCAGAGACTGTTGTCGACGTATGTGGTAGAGTTGACCATGCCATTTTACACTTGGTGACTGGCACGAATGGATATAACAGTGTTGAATAGCATCGTCAGAGAGGCGATTCTGATTAGGGCAACAAGGGAGAGGTGTGAGCAGTTGAGATCCGCATTGGGTAATTCTCCGATGGACAGGCACGGGAAGGTAAAGTAGATAGTCTTTGATGGGCCAGACAATCAGGGCAAAGCAAGGGAGGTCAGGTCGTTGGTCCTAAAGGGATTGAACAAGGTCGAAACATGTACGGGCGGCCTGAGAGACCTGGAATGGGCGATGACAGACGGAATGGGGTGGATCAAGGCGAAGCTGGCGGAGCGGTTCGGGTAGTCTGGTGGAGTGTAAAAGGGAAAAGCCGTTGCTGCGTTGGGCCAAGTTTGACGAAAGCAAACGATCCACGGGTAGTTCCTGTAAGGTATGGTTGTTGTTGGTCGTTGGTTACCATATGGTAGGCGAGGAAGCCCGTGATTCATTGCGTTTTGCCTGAGGCGCCCACTCAACCCGACAGCTGGGTCACTAGCGGAGTTGGCCCGGGAAAGGTGCAACCTCAAGATGAGATGGCAGGCGGCCGCCGCAGCACGGGGCGTCAAGAGGCGTCGGATCCTCGAGGGGTCCAATGGCTCGGGTCGAGTGGCTTGCTTCAGTGTCTGCTCTCCGGAAAGTGACAGCCTAATGTCAGAACCACCTCTTTTCTGTCTAAGGCAAGAAGACCTATTTAGTCCGGCCTAACGGTAGCCTCTCTTGGTAAGGTACGACGGGGAGTGAGAAGCGGGGGGGGCCTCGGGTAATGGGCTATTCACTCCTGGTGCGGGCGTCCCTTTTGGAAGGTCAGAAAGGCGCGGGTGAAAAACGGTACTAGACTATGGATCATCAGTTAAAACGCAACAAGTACGGGAAAGCATTGGTTGATGTGGGCGAAGGATTCGGGTGGCCGGGACCGGACCCTGAGATGGGCAGCTTTGCCATGTAAAAAGTCTCTGTGAAGTGGTTGCCCACAAATGCCAAATTGCCCAGCGTCAGTGCGGCGTACCGAGTCATAGAAGCCGGAGGTTTGTGCGTTTAAGGAGGTTGGCCTCCTTTTTTGTTCAATGAGATAATTACGGATGCTTGTGGTGAGTATGGTGAATTAATGATGGAAGGGTAAGATAGAGAGAAAGACAGAGAGGAAACGCAAACAAACATGATGGAAGCCAAGGTGAGGAGACATTGAGGAGGCCTTTGCCTGCCCCAGACATGGCGCCAGGTTACCCGTGAAAGATCAAAGAAGGAGCTCCTGCCATAGGTGTTGCTGCACCGGGAGTGGGCCGGGATTTCCCATGCTCGGATTTAGAGTTGAAGCCATGACTCCTGGTTCGTCTGGAATGCCCCACAGGCACGCCCATGGCCCCTTCCACCTTTGGCTCTCTCCACTTACACTACTTACAGCCTTTGGTGTGGTAGTGGGCACTGAGTGGTGCCTTCCGTGCTTGCTTCCATCTGTTGGGTACGAAGTACGTAGCACTTCGTGCCTTATGTAAGACGGGTACGAACCTGTCCAATCCAATGGGACAAACTGAGGAAGTTGGAGGACGAGGATTGTCTCCTTCCCCTGCACGCTGCCATTCTGGGCGCTGCTGCCCATCCTTGCAGACCACTACTCCGTATGTTCAGGTTGGCCTCGACCTTCGTCAAACAGTTGCTCGAGACGCGACTTGTTCTGTTTCTTTTCACCTCCCTGCCTGTGCCTCATCGGCGGAGAAAACGCCTCCTGGGTTGAACCACCTCCAACATGATGGCACTTTTGCATCAATGGCTTGTTGACCGTTGCAGCCTCGACCAAACTCTCGGATCTCGATTCCATCCGCCTGGATACCTAGTGTACCCTGGCAAGTCTGGCTTTCAGTCGCCCCCAACTCAACTCTATCAAGCCTCCCACGACCATTCTTGAGCTTGTTCTGCCCTCCACTTTGTGAGACGCATCGACTGGCCACCACATCCATGTGACACCAAGCAGGAAGTTGGGAACCTCGTTGTCAAAGAACCACCTCCGCCTCGGCTAGTTAATACTACACGCACTACGGAGTACTGTGTATTACTCCACGCCATAATTGTCCGGGGAGGGGTTAGTCAGCCCTCTATCACGAATCAACTCTCATGGCAGTCAGGTTGTCCGTCTGTTGACTTATTACGGATACTGCGCGCCAAGATCTCAGACGTTCAATATGACAATCTCGTTCCCGATCTCGTCCGTCCCGCCCGGGTCTGGTCAAGCGTCACGATTTGCTGCAGCTGAAAGAAGTCCGCCG